GTCTGGTTTTCTCCCCCTACATATCTTGTCTACCCCCCCTCTGTGTCTATCTCTTTCTATTTATCTCTGTATATACACATCATCTTCTATCTGTGGTGTGACAATTTGCCGGATATGCTTGTAGGTTCAAAAGAAACCAGGGATCACTTATCAAGGCTATATTCAAGTACACAGAGGAGCACTGCGGTGTGCGACCGGACAGTCAGCTCACGGGCGACGCTCTGCCTGGGGCGTGTTGTTACTGGAACATGCCACTGGCAAACAAGTTGTTACATGAATGGAGGTAGATAGTTGCATGGTTAATATGATACAGAGGGTGACAATGGTGTACGTGTTATGCTATGCTATATACACAGACACTAATATATCACATATCTACACTATCTATCTCTTCCTCTCACTTTTTTCTAGCTCTCGCTCGCCCTCCCCCCCCCTCTCTCTCTCTCTTTCTATCTATCACCTCTTTGTATCTTTCTCTTCCTTCCTCACTCACTCATGCTATCCCTTTCTGTCTGTCTCCGTCTTTCTCTTGAATGTATCCCCCTGTTTATTTACTTCGACTCGTCTGTCCATTTACATACACTCGCCCAGCATCTATACATAGAGATAAGGACAGCTAGGTATACACATACCGGTGGATGCGCTACATATGTCTATACAGTGCCAGCTTAAGAATATACACACATGCATCTCTTAATATATTGACGAGCATGCAACGAAGTATAACTGCAAGTCTGTATTTGATCACACAGCCGACAACTTACCTGTAAACTTGCACTGCGTTCCTGAAGCTCTGCAATTTGCTGGTTGAGACCTTCCTTCTCGGCCTCATGCTCCCTCGCCTCACTCTCACACCTTTGCTGATGCAATTGCGCTTGCTTCACCTGCTCCTGAAAAGGTCTACCTTGGTTAGGTTGTTGCAAACAGAATCGAGCACTTGATTTGCATCTGCTTGTGCCATTCTCTTCTTTCCCTCTCTGTGTCTCTTGCACGTACCTGCATTAATTTGATTTCCTTTTCCTTTTCCTGAAGCTCCTTCTTCAACTCTCCATTTTCCTTCTGCAGGGTGGCTGCCTCCGCCACCTTCGAGTCGTACCTCTTCTTCATCTCCTTCCTCTGCTTCTCGGGATCGTCCTGCAAGAGAAAAGTCTCAGGAATGCGTCGAGGACACTGCTTTGGCGCCGCAGCCAAAGCGGAACCTGATGACAGCAACTGGGGCGCAAAGCACGGCCTTACCCTGTACGCCAGCAGGACTTGCTTCACAGCCGGATGACGCGCTGCTAAGTCCATGGGAGTTTTGCCTGGGGGAGGAAGAAGCTTGTATTAAGCTCGTGTTCATGGGTGATGGGAAGGAGGCTGGGAATGGAGGAAAAGTGGGGATGGAAATGGGGATGGGAATTAGGGTAATGAGGAAGCAGAGAAGAGGAGAGAACGAGGAAGGAAGAAGAGGAAAAGAAACGAAGGGATAAAGAGAATAGCAGCGAGAGGGAGCAAAAGGAGACAGGAAAGAGTGATGGGAGGAAGATAGGTAGAATAAAGGCAGAGAAAAGAAGAAAAAAGAGCAGAGAAATGGAAAATGAGGAATAGGGAGGAAAACTGAATAGAAGAAGAGCAGAGAGAAGAAGAGAAAAAATAGGTGGGAGAAAACAGGAGAAAGAAAGAGAGAGGAAGGGAAAAGACAGAAGGGAGGTAGAGAAAAGAGAGGATAAAAAAAGGAGAAAGAGGTATGGAGAAAGAGGACAGAGAGATGTAAAGAAGGAAAATGAGAGTGGGGATTGGAGGAAGAGAACAGAAAGAAAAGAAGAGAAAAAGAAATATGAAATGAAATAAGAGGCAGAATTGAGATACAGAGCAGGAGGAAGAGGAGAAGGAGACAGAGACAGAGGAACAGGAGAAAAAGTGGAAAATGAGAAAAAAGTAGAGGAAAACGCAAAATAGTGTAAGAGGAGAGGAAGGTGAACAAGAGATAGTGGACAGGGAGGAGAAACCGGGAAAAGGAAGAAAGGTAGTGGAGATAGAGAAGGGAGGAAGAAGTGAACTAGAGGAAAGAAATAAGGGAGGAAGAGAAGAGAGACAGAGGGAAGGAAGGAAAACGAGAGAGTAGAATAGAGGAAGGGGGGCTGGGAAAGAGGAGAAGGAAGAGGGAAAGGGAGGGATAGAAAGGAGAAAGGAGAGAGTAGAAAAAAAAAACGAGAGACAGGGAAGAGGAAGAGGCAGAATAAAGTGAGGAAGCGAAGAAGAGGTAAAGGAGAGAGAAAGGGAGGGGAGAGAAGGAAGAGGAGAAACAAATGAAGAGAGAGAGAAGAGAAAAAGGAGGGAGAGGAAGAAGCACACAGAGAAAGGAAGAGTAGAGAGAAGGGAAGGACAAAGAGAATGGAGAAAATAAAAGTCATGATAACAAGATATAGTGAAAATGAAAATGAATGTAACAGTAATAACAATACATACGAATGTATAGCGAAAAGGCAATAACACGAAAATAGGTAAAATAGCATAAACTGCAGTAAGAATAAAACAATATAATTATGGAAATATATGATGGCTGTAACAATTACTCAATTGACATTAATATCATGAAAAACTTTGATGATAATGATAATAGTAATGTTATTCACAAAAAAATAATGATAATAGTAATAGCAATTATAATAGTGAAATATGAATCATAAAAGTCAATGTAATAGTAATAAAAATGCATACGAATAAATTAGGGAGATTTAGTACAACGAAATTAAGTGCAATGAAAATGAATAACTATACCATTAAAAATAAAATAAAGATCCGAAAATATATGATAACTGGAACATTTACTCTATTAATATCAATATTAACATGATTATAATAATGACATTAATACCCTGACATGATGATAATCATATGATAATAAAAAACACATGAATAATAGTAAGAATTAAGTAAGAACAAGAACAAGGTAAAGAACAAGTCAATAAAAACTGGACTGTTTGCAAGAAATGGCAGATCTGAATGCTTCTTGGAAATGAGCGAGTGAAATGGTGAAAATCGTCATTGCATGGACTACTTTAACAAGCAAACTGGCAACACATGCCGAGTGTTGCCACTTTATCACGAGCATTTCTACAACCCTTTTAAAAGGATGAAATTAGACGTGTGGAAATGCGCGGAATGTATTGGCAGGAATGAACAAATATCAATTTCACTGGAAGAAATCAAATACTTCATTCTTCTCATATGTACAGAGACGTGGAAAGCTCTCATGCAATAACGGTAAACATATGGCGGGAAATACTTTGGATGCTACAGGAATGATACAGGATTGTACGAATACAAGAACGTTGCCACGTCGTACTTCAGTTCATGGGAAAAGAGAGTTTATTATGTAGTACGGAGAGAGAGAGTGAATGAAAGAAATGAGAGAGAGAGAGCGAATGTAAATATAAGAGAGAAAGTAAGAAGTATAAAGAGAAAGAGAGATAGCGAATAAAAAAAATGAGAGAAAAAATTTAAAAAATAAAGATAAAAAGAAAGAAGGAAAGAGAAAGAGAGAACGAAAGAAGGAGAGAGAGAATGAGAGAAAGAATTAGAAAGAAAGAAAGAAGGAAAGAGAGAAAGGACGAAAGAAGGAAAGAATTTCCACACAGCATACAGAGAGAGGGACGGAGAAGAGAGGGAAAGGAAGGGAAAGAGACAGAAATAGAATGGGAGGGAGAAAGTGAGAGAGGGATGGAGAAAGAGAGAGAGAAAGAAAAGCAGGGAGAGTGATAGATAGGGAGGAAGAGAGAAAGAAAAAGGGAAAGGGAGAGAGAGAAAGATAAAAGGAGGGAGAGATTGAGAGACAGAGAAAGGCAGGGAGCGAGAGAAAAATAGAAAGGGAGAGAGAGAGATAGGGAGGAAGGAGAGAGAAAGATAAATGGAGTGAGAAAGAGAGAAAGAAAAAGGAAGGGAAAGAGAGAAAGAAAGAAAAAGGAAGTGAAAGAGAGAGAAAGAGAGGGAGGGAGGGAGAAAGAGAAATGAAAAGGGAAAGAGTAAGACAAAGGGAGGGAGAAAGAGAGTGAAATGCAGGGAGAGAAAGAGAAATAGGAAGGGAGAGAGAGAGAAATATGAAGGGAGAGAAAGAGATGGAAAGGAAGAAAAATAAATATAAAGGGATTGAAAAAGGAGGGAGAGAAAAATGAGAAAAAGAAAGGGAAATAGAGAGGAGAAAAGGAGGTTGCCACAGTATCATTATGGTTGCCATGATATTCTGGTTGTTAAATTGTCATTCTGGTTGTCAAATTGTTGCCATCATTCTGGTAGTCATGTGCCATCCTGGTTGTCATAGTCATATTGTTGCCATTATTCTGGTAGTCATTCTGCCATTCTGGTCGCCATATTGTCCTATTTTCTTCTTGTTTTGTCCGTATATTGCGATCTTTGATTTTATTATTTTAAGCGAGGGCTGTCAATTCAGTTCATTCAATCATGATATTGATAATGCTATTGGTTATTATCGTGTGATTTCAGTCAACAGTTGAAATTTCGTAGTTGGTTGATTGATCATTTGTAGATGAAGGTACGCAATTGCCTCCGCTAACAACTGATTTCCTTGTTAATTTATCATAACTATTGCATGTGCCATTAATCCTCCAACCAGAAGAAGATTATGATCCGCCCGGGGCACTAATTACCCATTAGTCCCTACTGCAGTGGCTAATGACCCCCATTAATCCTTCCCAGAGGGGCTAATGACCCCCATTAATCCTTTCAACAGAGGCTAATGACCCTAACCCATCTCTCCTGCAGATAATTACGTGCTGCCTGTGGAGGACCTCCCTGCCCCCCCGCTCTGCCGTCTCTTTCCCTCGTCCTCCTGCATGCATATATATATATATGTGTGTGTGTGTCTATACATACTTTCATATATATATATGTATGTATGTATGATAGATAGATAGATTGATGGACAGATAGATAGACAGATAGATTATAGATAAACATATTTATATATGTATATATATATTTATATACATATATGCGTATAC